AAACGAAAGACGTACCACGTCGAAGATCAGTCAGAAGAAGAAGACTACGAGACACAAACCCCCCCACCCCCCCCCCCCCGCCTCTACACCTTCGGAGGAGACTTGAGGCCCCCTTGTGGCCAATGGTGACATCTGCATTGAACCAAGTGAGAAAAACCTCCTAGTAGACAGTGTGTGTGCTCCTTATAATTGTGCCATGGTGCTAAAAACCCTAAGGACTATTAAAAACAGTGGTTACCTATGATGCCTACATGATGAGAGGGCACCATAGCCTGGTCAAATCCTGGCAAGGCCACTCCATCTGTAAGAATTGAGGAAAGTTCTAGAACTAAAAGGCCATTTCACCAAATTTGTAAAAATAAAGGAAGAAAACCTGCCTGCCCGGAAGGGGTGATGTGAGGTGCAGCATCCAGGACAGCTCAAGGCTGGGGTCCCTCACCTCAGAAGCCTTGACAGCCCAGCTGGTGAGGCACTAGGCTCAAGTCTCGCCAAGGCAGCTTCAGAGGAGGTGCCTGACTCAGGGACTTGGAGAGTTGCCTGGAGAGGATCCTGAGGGGAGCAAATGTGGTGCAGGATGGGGAGTGTAAAATGATACCAGTAGCAACTGCCTAAAAGCAAAAGGGCCCAGCTTCCTGTGCCCCGTGATTCTCTGAGTCACCCCAGGAAACAGCGCAGCCCTCTTCGCTCCGGCATCGGGCCTCTCGTACCTCGCCCTCTCGGTGAGCCTGGTCCCCACCCGGATCTGGGCCGCTCCTCAGACTCAGGGCTGGTTCTGCTTTCTGGTGACCCCGGGGAAAGAGCTGCAGGACGCTCCGGTACTGACTGCAGAAGCCACTGTCGCTGGACCAGGAGCTGAACGGCCTGCAGACATGCATGCTGGCGCCGAGCAACCGCTGTCCTGAACTGTCCCGAACGGTCCCTACGGCGTGCGGGGCACACCTGAGTCTAAGCACCCGCAGCCCTTCACACCTTCTCGAACTCCCAGAGGGTTAGAGGCCAGATAGGGTTTGGCCGTTGGACCTCGCCCTTTGCCCGTTGTTGCAACTTCTTCGTGCCCTTGCTCGTGCACCCTACTGTCACGTGTCCCAGTGGTGTCGCACAACGTCCGCTGGACAGAGCGCGCCCCGTCGCGGAGGGATCAGAAGCCAGGAGACCTACCAGAGTCTGCCGGACCACTTTGAGGATTCTTCAGGGCTCAAACTTCTCTTCAGGGACAACTTCCTCGGCACGTTCGCACCTCGCCCGGCCACGCTACCCTGTCTGAGCTGAATTAACCCTCCTCCTCCCCCTAGGCTGTTTGCTGCAACCGCAGTTTCACATCGCAGCTAAGAAGCTAAGCTGAGATCTGATCTGACAGGCTCTGTACTCCTCTTCAGGCGGCGGTCCTTACCTTGGTGTGGTGTGTGTGTGTCTGATTTTCCCATCACAGAAGCCACTGCTGTCTGCTTGCACTGCCAAGATGTTCCTCTGCTCAGGAATGGTGACGATACATCCTCCAGGGTGCAAAATGACTCTTCTCTGATTGGCACTTAAGCAGATGAGGCCTGGGTCATCCAGTCACGGCTAGATCTCTGCTTAAAGGAGGCTGAACTGAAGGCCCTAGGAAAGGAAGAGCTAAGAGGACACAAAATAGCAAAGGAAGGATGGTGGCTACCAGCCTGGCCTGTAGCAGCAAGAGTGTACCATCACCATGTAGGACCCTGGACACCAGAGCAGTGGTGGAGTCCTCACCTCCCTCTGGTGAAGTCCTGGGCCTCCTCAGGGAAACCTCCATTCCCAGCCCCCAGAAGACGCTTTGAGTAAGAAAGTGAAAACATCTTCAATGAGCCCATCATCAAAGGCCATGCCATCCACACCTCTTATAGTCCCGCTGGAGGCTTCCCATCTCTTTGGAGGACTGATCTGAGTGCAGCAGGGCTGTTTGGCCCACTCATGTCAAAGAGGTGGACAGAAGAAGAGATTGATGTAGGCCACCCACCCAGATCTCCAGCCTCACTGATATCAGAGAAAATACAGGGAGAAAAGCTTCCAGATGCTCTGTCCAGAAGTTAATTCTCCACCCACATCTGCCAGTTGGACGCTCTGTAAGCAAAAATTCCCATTGCCCTGCTGTTGCCACTGCTACTGTTTTGGGGAGCAGGAGGACAGGCCTCTCCCTCCTAGGCTCATTGGTGAGGACCTAGGCTTGGAGGAGAAAGCTGAGCTCCAATGGAACCACAAGATGTTGAGGGATAAAACTGAGGCCGCTTCAGACTGCAATGCCTGTTCTCTCTTCCTGCTTTCAGAAGCAACTGCAGACACTGCCATTGGCCACCTTCACCTTGCAGGTCCCAGCTACTGCCTTATTGTTAGACATTGATCCAGCTGCCCTGCTTGCCTGGTCCCCAAGCCTGTCTGCCCCCAGACCTATCCTCACATGAAATACTGACCATGAAATGAGATGCCCAAATCCTAACTGTCGTTTTGCTGTTCCTGCTGAATCTCTTCTTCCCTTTAGGATAAATAATAATAATGATAACATAAACCATCCAATAAAAAATGGGTGAAGCATTTGAAAAATCCCGTTCCAAAAGGTGATTTGCAAATGTTCAATAAGCCATTTTAAAAAATACTCAACACCATTAGTCATCAGAGAAATTAAAATAAAACCACAGTGAGAGATACCATGACACAACCACCAGAAAGGATAAAGGTTATGAGTCTAACAGCTCCAAATGTGCTCAGGGGTGTAGAGCATCTGAAAGCCTTCTCACTTCTAATGAGAATATAAAATAGTGCAAACACTTTGAAAAAAAATCATGTAGTTTCTCATAAAACTAATTATATACCTATTCTGACTCTGCAATTTCTCTCCTAATTACTTAACCAAAAGAAATGAAAACATAGGTACACAAAAAGGCTGGCACAGTCTGTTCATAGGTTCTTTATTCATAATAAACAAAATCTAGAAATATCTCTGGTGCCAATCCATAAGAGAATAGAAAAACAAATCATGAAGTATTCAGACCACCCAGCTATCAAGGAAAGAGTCCCTAATAACAGGCAACAAACAATAAGGATGAAGCAAAAATCATTTGACTAAGTGAAAGGAGACTTACACAAAAGAATGCATACTGCATGTCTGTATTTATGTGGAAGTCTAGAACAGTCAGAACTAAACCTATACTGGAGCAATTCCTGAAGGGTTGTGGGTGAGGGTGGGGCAGGAAGAGACTGACTGAACCCAGAGACAGAGCAGTGAGCAAATCAGGGACTTGCCAGCTACAGGAAGCCAGGGCAACCCACCCATGTGTGATTCTCTCCAAGGGCTGAACTGTTCTGTCTCCATGCTGACCTGCCTGCTCCTGCCGGGGAGCGGTAGGAAGGGGTATCTGACTGACCTGACCCAGATCTGATTCCCATAGTCCAGGCAAATGTGTCCCAGGACCTGGGGTCTCATGGTCCATGAAATTCCCTTCAGAGGGTGTTGAAATTGCTCCTAAAAGGGCCTGTGGCTTTTGCCTGTATATTCCCCCAAGCCTTTTATTCACCCAAGATTGCTTGCTGATCGATTTTTCTTGCCTCGTTTCTCTCCAGTATCTATCTTCCCATTCTCTGCCACAACCACTACCTTAACATTATTCTTTTCTCAAAAAAAATTTTTTTTAATGTTTAAAAACTTTTGTAACAGTTACAAAGAAAATGTAGCCTTCTCTGCCATGATAATGGTCAATTTCATCTATGTAGCAACATCTACTCATAAAACAACGACTTTAGAATGATATTCTTTATACTGTTACTTCAACTTTTTTCAAACAAGTCTTTGAGGTTAAAATTTACGTAAAGTAAAATG